AACTGTGATAATATTCTATTCTTAAATAAATACATCAAAGAGCTCGAATACACTGCTTGCCATTTTTGTAAGCAGATATTTAAAAAAGACCTATGGTGTATATTCTTAATAAACAAATATAGTTTACTAGGATAGGATAGGAAACATGCTACATTTTAATAAAATTTGGTATTGTTTCAAGATAAACGGGTCATCCTGTATATTGCGGTATAATAAAAATTAGAACACGTAGGTATTTAGCTTCCGAAAATTATTCTCAGAATTATTGTTAATTACTAAATAATATTATGAAACGTTTCATCCGAAAAGCCATTCAAATATGTGATTATACCTACCTACACCTACATACTAAATAATTTATCTAAATTTATGTACCTAGCTAGTTTATTAAAATTAAACTTACCATGTTGCTTTGAGTCAATCTTTTTCCTTTTGTTTCCTTCATGAATGCATTCATGATGTGGAACCATTTTAAAGTTGGGGCGTAGACGTCGTCAGTTCCCATACCCGATTTAACTGATCTTTCTATTTTCTGTAGTTCTTGGCTGTAAGTATTCCGCAAACTTTTTATTTTTTGCCTAGCTTCGGCAACAGTAAATCCCTCAATGCCCATGTTTTGAACTAATTGTTCTAAAGCTGCCGATCTCATTTGATTATTTCTGTAACTTTGTTTGGTAACGTTCCAGAGACATTCGTATTCCCGATAAAGTTCGACAAATTTAACAGTTTCTCCCTCGGACCATTTCATTATTGCACTTTTAACAGTAAAATTAAAAAACAATAGCGAAATATAAAACCGCGACACTGCTCTCACAACGTTATATGCCAGGACACTTGCACACCGTCTACACTCGACTAGTTACCAAACCACTTGCCATGCTACTTGCGTTGAGGCGAAAATGTGGTGGAAGGGGAAGGACAGTAGGCAAGTAAATAGATGGGCTAGCTATTTACTTACCTGTCCTCGCTACTGGTACAAGCACTTGTACAAGTACTTACCCGGTAGGTTGACATTGGGCTAGTTGTTGCCTTACAAGCTACTGGTACAAGCAACTAACCCGTTTACTATACCAATGTAAACTCCGCTTAATACCTGTAATCCACTACTTTCTGGGGGTCTTGTTGAGCTCTACAGAGACTTAGCTTTTTCCTGTCTGGATCTGTCAGGTTTGGGTATAAAAGCCACCCTTAGGAGGATAACAATTAACTTTTGAGGAAAGGATAAAAGTGACAGTTGATATAAGGTATAGGTAAAATTAATTTTCCTTATATGGATCAAATGAGTTTATTGCCCATTTCATCTGGTCTTGGTTTATCACCACTAGGCATGAAGAAAACAAGAACTACAGCATATCATCCGCAATCGGATGATATGGTAGAACGCATGAATATAGGCAGTTGGCAAGTATTTGACAAAGATGGTGTCCGATCATCAGTGAGACTGGGACCAATATCATCCGTTCTTCACAATGGCCTACAGATCTGCTGTTAACGCATCAACAGGCCAGACACCAGCCAAAGTTCTATCTGGACGCGAGATGCGACTACCTTGTGATCTAGAGTTTAGGTGTCTACCTGGAGAAGATGTAGCAGGTGAAGATTATGTGATCGAATTACGAAGAAGAATGGACGATGTACACGAGTTTATCCGTTCCCATCTTCAGATCGCTAGCGACCGAATGAAGAAACGGTACGATTCGCAAGCCGAAAAAGGGTGCTTTAAGAAGAACGACAAAGTCTGGCTCTATGATCCCAAGAAGCGAAAAGGTTGTTTTTCCCAAGTTGCAGCAGTTTTGGGAAGGTCCATAACTCATTATGGAGAAGATCAACGATGTCATCTACCGAATAAGCAAGATTCCGAGGGGAAAGCCGATGATAGTACACCATAACCGGCTGGCGTCTTTCGAAGGTGACCACGACGTAGATGAAGAAGTGGAACTAAACCAAGTCCACGATGTGTCTGACCTCACGTTTGAGGAATTCGTGGGGGCTTATATAGGTACCGGTAAAGAAAGACATGGTGTTACCATTGAAGAAAAGCAAGATCTACTCGCGATTCCCTATGACTACTCACTGGCACTTACCATCCCGGCCAGTATCAAAGACGCACCAGGGTTGGCATTTGTCTTTCGAAGGAAGTTCGGTCGAGATGCAGAACTTCAATGCCAAGTGCCAGCTCCCGGGAAAGCTTTGAAACTCCAAGATGCATCTCGTTACCTTTTTTACTTGGTAACAAAAAACACTGCCCATGACCAACCTACCTACCGAGATGTATGGGAAGCCTTACTTCAATTAAGTGAGCACGTACTAGAGTCCGACGTGCAAAAGTTAGCCATGCCAAAGTTGGAGTGCCGCCAATTAGATTGGAGGGTTATCCGAAGTATGATGGAAGAGATCTTTAAAGACACCCAAGTACAGGTGTTAATCTGTTGCAATCTACATAGTTACTGGTGCTGAGAGAAAACCGTCCCTTGTCATTTTTATACAACTGAAAGTTGTAAAAGTGGGTCCAGTTACCGATACCAGCATACCGTTCCAGTTCCAGTCCCGACAAGGTTCGAGGAGGAACCATCTTTTAAGAGGGGAAATGTTACGATAAAAATGACCCATACCTAAACTGTAAACATATTTTTTAGTAGGTAAGTAGTGTAAGTATTTTTTAGTAGGGTAACCTACGTTAAAATCTGTTACATGGCGTTCGAGAACGTTCAGCAAGGGTCAGCGTCCAAATTCTAGGGAACTCCAGAATAACGGTTATTAAATATTTATAGAGGAATTATTATTGAAAATAGTTAGTCTGAAAAGAATAATTGTATCGAGTCTAGTTTGAATTGTAACGCGGAAATAAATTATACAAATTAGAATAGTGTCAGTGTAATAGTACATTGTTTACCGGGTAGGAAAAGCTTAACATTCCTGGACGACTGTGAAGATTGCTAAGTCGAGGCGCAAGCCGAGACTTAGCAACACAGAGTCCAGGAATGTGGCTTTTCCTACGAGGTAAACATACTATTTTTCCGCAAATCGTTTAAAATTCGACAGTTATTGATTGATTTAAAAAAAACGCGATAATTTTATTCCAAATAAATGGTGCTTGAAATTCCTAATAAAATTACTTGGGTTACTATGGAAAACATATCATTTCCTTACAGTAAGGAAATGACATTTCCTTACAGTAAGGAAGTCCTGACTTTTTCTTCAAGAAATTTTGACAGGAATGTCAAAATTTCCTGGTAATTTGCGGAAAAAAAATATTATGTAAGATTATATATAAATTTAATAAAGACTCTAATAAACTAAGTGTTAGAACATTTCATAATAAATAGAGTTAATAAATTAGATTAATAAAATTAGTTCAGTATACCCAAATAAAAAAAATTCGGAATCTTTTGTCAACGCGTCAGCAAGTGGACTAATAAAAAAATAAAATTGACCTTATTACAACTACGCCTAGATTGTGTTTTCAGAAGCTATCGGCGTTGTTTGTTTGGTTCGGAAGTTTCTTTGAAGTATGTTTAGGTAAAATAAACGTATTACTCAAAATACACAGTATTAAATTCTGCCAGAATTGGACGTTTGCCACAATTTGCGAACCTGAAAGATATTGAAGTATATACACCTGAGCAAGTATTTAACGCAGACGAATCTGCACTGTTTTGGAAGAGAATGCCAAATAAAATATTCATTTCTAAATGCCAAAAGTGTTACAATGGATTTAAGGCAGCAAAGGATAGAGACACTGTTGCTTTGCTCTAATTCATTTGGAGACTTTGTTATTAAATCATTAATGCCTTACAGATCTTTAATTCCTCGTGCGATAAAAAATCAAAACAAAGACGACCTGCCAGTGTTTTGGCGTGCTAATACGAAAACGTGGGTTACAAGCGCTATATTTTGTGACTGGTTCCGGAATTGTTTTGTTTCTGAAGTTAAAACTTATTTGAAATCAAAGAATTTAGACTTTAAACCGATAGATTTGGACGATGCACCAGGTCAACTTAGTGAACTTTAAACTATGCATCCAAATATAAAAGTGACATGTTTACCTCCAATACGACGGCGTTAACTCAACCTATGGACCAAGGAATAATCCAGGGCTTTAAGCTCTATTACATAAGACGAACATTTAAAATATTACTTGATAATATGGAATGTGATCCTGATATGAATGTTGGAAGAAATTCGACATGTAAGCAAAATGCATCCTAAACATAAAAGAATCATTTCACGCACTGAAACCATACACATTAAAATCTTATTGGAAAAAACTGTGGTCTTTTCTGGCTGCGGGAAATAAGGAAGAATCTGTGCAAGATCACATTTTAACTCAAACATTGCCGAAATTGCTAGAGGAATAGGATGAAATGGGTTCGAAAAGATAGAATGAAGTGACGTTCAGTTGTCTGAATCGCAAGATGAAGATTTGACTGAAACCGACTTAGATGAAATGTTAAAATTACAACCCATTGAAGAAGAGGCTTCAAGAAGAACTTGAAACGTGACATTTAATTTGAAAACTCTTGGTGATGGTTTAAGAATGACAAATGGGCTTTTTGATTTCTTTATGAAATCTGATCCATCTATGGAACGAACTCTTATTTTTAAAAGGCAAATTGCTAATGCTACTGCCGAATATCAGTCTGAATTTAAGGCGTATTTAAAAACTGCCAAGCAAGAAAAAATTAATAAATTCTTTAAACCATTGCCTATACCTGAAGATAATATGTAATTCATCAATATGTATGGTCAAAAAATTTAATTAAACTGATTTTTTTTATGTATTTGCTTTTTATTTCGTCACCTAGGAACATATCCTCTATAACACCATATAAATTACCATATCATATTCACGGTTACTGTACTGGCGACATATTTACGGAACATAATACTTCGCGAATAAAGAGTTTCTACTGTACTGTATTTGCAAACATTTACATAATTTAACATTGAAAATTCGGGTTTTCAAACTTTTGGCAAAATAATTAGAAATAACAACCTACCTGTAAATGCATGTCTCGATGACCAGTCTTTCCATATGCAGAATTCTTTGTAAGGTACCTCCTAATATTCATTAGGGTCTCTACTTGGGAAGCTGCCTCTTCCCTGGGAAGTTCCTTAGGTTCAAAATACACCAATTTGCATAGTGAGCCACCTATGTCCATACCAAACCATGGCATTGCTGTAAAAGTAACAGTAGGATAAGTAATTTAATACTAAATAATTCGTAGCGTTGGATAATGTACAATAATATTTGAATATTCATAACTTGGTGATGTATTACTCAAGGTAATAATTAACAATATTTTTGTTTTAATGAAATTAAATATTTGCGTAATAGGACAAGGAAACTTAGATAAGACATTGTAAAAATGAATTGTTAAAAAGATTTCGGGAAACTACAAATTAAAATAAAATCAAGAAAGATGTATCTATGCCGACATAAAACCAGAAGATCTACTATTTATGATGATATGATCAAAAAACTTTCGCGAAATGCATTAAGAGCGTTAGGAGCGGAAGTTCTTTGTGAAACTTTAGGGAATGCTAATGAAGGTTTTAGAGGTCCTTAATGAAGATTTTTTTAAAAACATTTTATCTACTGATAGTCTTACATGTATACGTTAAATAACGAATCAAATATTGAAAATGATACAAGTTTATTTGACCAGAAAGCTTGATTGAAGACTCAAAATAAATGTATGATAAGCAATATTCAGATACTACATTACTGAATCCTTATTTTACAAGGAAAGTTTAAATTCAACGAGTGATAAAAAATATGAATAAAAATGACCAAAATGTCTCCTAAACGAGCCGCGTATCAATGCAATTAAAAAAAAAAACGATTCACTCTAAACTATTGGTTACATTCCAATAACGAAGCATATAGAATGTAGTGTTGGGTTCCCGCTACATTAGCCCAACTAGATTTTAAAGTTGACTTTGCCTCAAAAGAAAAACGTATTGTACTTTTAATTTCTTATACGACTTAACATACGTACAACTAACCCAGGTCGGGTCTCGAAATACAATACGAATGGCGTCAGACGTACTACTAATTGAATTGAAAAATGAACTGTGTCTGTCAACTTTCTTCGCTTTTAAATATGTGACTTGCGTTCCTTATACAAGGAAGGAACAGTTAATATCTATTGGATTCCGATATAGCAATTTATAATTTGCTTATGGGTGGTTGAAAGGGGAGACTGAACAATTACTGGGCTTGGAAATATGGTAAGCAAATAAATTGAAACGTTTGCGAATGGCTACTCGTGTTTTGGTTGGAATGCTGAGTCGTGGATAAGGAATCATTTATTTGGGGAGGGTTGGAGGACTAACTACAAAAAAGAAACACTGGACAAACAATGTCCTGGGCAACACTACACACGAAGATTCCTAAATTATTTAATATCAGGATGCCGTCTAAAAGAATCCTCTTGTTGGGTGGAATTGTATACAAAATGCACTGTTCCATCTGGATCGGACCAATGGGAGGCACAAAATGGAAGCTGACAAACACCAAAGCTGGGCCTCAGGTTTTCCTGGATGATAACTATATGATTCTTCAAAACTCGTCTGCCTATTTTCACTCAAAACCATGTAGGCCTCACTTAGCTCTCAGAAATGCTGTTACTAAATCCCGTGACACGGAATACAGCACAAACCGGTGGTTATCTCACTTACAAAGACTGCCAATAACATTTTGAGATTAAATCACCTCCTTTTAACCAAAACTCATCGAATTAAGCGAAAATTTGCCGGTTTTTAAAACTTACTGCGATGTTCATCGCTTAGATACAAATTTGTTCTCTTTGACTGCTACGCTAATGAATTTCCGATGACAAAAAAATCTGGACTCAAACAATAAAATCGACTGCTCTGGTAACCTGACACTGAGTAGTGATATCATCCTTCCAAATCAGTATAAACATAAGCAGAAAGATTCCTGTTTATTTCCTGGCTAATATCTAGGTGGAACAAAGATCAAAAGCAATAGCAATTAGTGTTGTTATAAATACACTAAAAATGTTTATACAAGGTGGTCCAGAATTATGTACATTAATTTATAGAGCTCATAGTACGTCCAAAAATAAGGGTACTTCTTTATGTACACTTTTTATAAAACTGAATAATAAGGGAGATACAACCCTTTAAAGGGGTGAATTGAAATTTTTATTTTTTCAAATATCTTCCAAATATTTTGGGAATAATTATAAGACATTAGGATAATTAATTTCATGTCACCACCTACCACATCCTATATTAATACAGGGTAGTTTTTGGGTAAGTGGGAGTTATTGCGTCATATGTTTTTTAATTTTTACATATTTTAAAAAAATATTTTAAAAATTGTTTCCTTAGACTTTTCTACGCAAAAAAGGTGCTCTTGTAATATTTCGATAGATATCACCGTTTTCGATTTATTTAAACTCGAAGGTATACATGTATTTATTGTAATCGTTACATTTTTTAATATTCATCAAGTATGCTTTGGAATTGACATTGTGTTAGCAACAACACTTTAATCTCAAGTAGTCTATGAATTGTCAGTGACGTTTAATAACAATTAAATAATTTTATCTACACTTTTATTGTATCGACAGTGAAATTTGTTTAACACGTCTCTTTTGCTATATTTTTAAATTTGTTTGCCCGCAATATGGCACACTATTCAAATTCTGAGATGACAGACATACTTTTAGTATTAGGGGAATGTTCGGAAAATGCTACTGCAGCTGTAAGACGCTACAGAGAAAAGTATCCGAACAGAAATATTCCCAATGCCAGGACTTTTGTAAGTACTGAACGATGAAAACCGGTTGTCTTCAAAAAAGAATACAGATGCTGGTCGTCGTAGAGAAGCAAGAAATGTTCGCGTTGAACAGCAAATATTGGATGCTGTAATAAATGACCCCACAATAAGTACACGCAGGTTAGGATTAAGAACGAATATTTCCCAAGTGTTTTAAGAGTTCTGCATGAAGAGCAATTACATCCTTACCACTATCGACAGGTGCAGGAATTGTTACCTGACGATATGCCACTTAGAGTTAATTTTTATGAAGTATTGCAAAATAAAGTTCAAATTGCACAATTTTTTTAAGCAACATTCTGTTTACAGACGAAGCCACATTTACAAGACAAGGTATGTTCAATTCTAGAAATATGCACTTCTGGGCTGAAGAAAATCCAAGGGCTACAATGGAAACTCACTTCCAACACACGTTCAAGATAAACATTTGGGCAGCTACTTTAGGAAATAGTTTCATAGGATACCACATCTTTCCCGGAAATTTAAATGGTAACACGTATTACAATTTTCTAGACAATATTTTACATGATATTTTGGAAGATATTCAATTACAAATACGAATAAACATGTTTTTCATGCATGATGGTGCTACACCACATTACACAGAATTTGTAGAAGGTGGTTACATGAACATTTCCCTGATAGGTGGATAGGCCGAAGTGCGGATGGACGATTCATTGGCCTGCTCGTAGTTGTGATCTTAATCCAATGGAGTTTACAGTATGGAGTTATTTGAAATCAAAAGTGTATAACACTCCAATTAATACAGTAAATGAGTTGAGACAAAATTCAACAAGTATTTACCGATTTACAAAAACAATCTAGTAACATTAAATAGATTAATGCGTTCGCTAAATAAAAGAATTAGATTATATATTCAACAAAATGGAGGACATTTTGAACAGTTGTTGTGAAATATTATTTTCGCCCTTAATTACATGTTAAAGTATTAATTTAAGTTTTCCATTAATTTGTAATATTATTGCTAACACAAGTGTCAATTCCAAAGCATACTTGATGAATATTAAGAAATGTAACGATTACAATAAAATACATGTGTACCTTCGAGTTTAAATAAATCGAAAAACGGTGATATCTATCGAAATATCACAAGAGCACCTTTTTTGGTAGAAAAATCTAAGGAAACAATTTTTAAAATATTTTTGTTAAAATATGTAAAAATTAAAAAACATGTGAGGCAATAACCCTCACTTACCTCCAAAACTACCCTGTATTAATATAGGATGTGGTAGGTGGTGACATGAAATTATTTATCCTAATGTCCTATAATTACTCCCAAAATATGAACTCCGTATTCAAAACCGTTTGGAAGATATTTGAAAAAATAAGAATTTCAATTCACCCCTTTAAACGGTTGTATCTCCCTTATTATTCAGTTTTATAAAAAAGTGTACATAAAGAAGTACCCTTATTTTTGGACGTACTATGAGCTCTAGAAATTAATGTACATAATTCTGGACCATCTTGTATTATCTATCTCTGAGACGCAAAAAGATTAAGAATATTTTTCCATGTTTTATTATATATGCGGTGAAATTAAAATGCTACATTTTCTTGTTTACCAATTATATTTTAATGCCACGTTTGGAATTGAACTAAATTCAAATCGAACACATGTAAAATGAGTTTATTAACACACACTTAAAAGATAACGGGTTTGAAGATATTTGAATTAAACCGATGTTAGGGCGTCATCTTTAAAGAGCCTTAGCCCCCTTAGAAAGCATTTTTGGATAAGATGATTTGTTTTGTGTTTGTCGACACCCTGTATACGTGGAAAATATTTTAAAAATGGCTCTGGAACGAGAAAGTAAAGGAATTAAAATTAACAGAATTCCAAAGATAATGTACGATAGGAAGATGATACAGCAATTCTAGAATCAACTTTAGAGGGTCTTCAGCACATATTGGACATTATTGACATCATAGGTAAACATTTTGGACTAAAGATAAACGCTATCAAGACTAAATTTATGATAGTTCGACCGTCTATAATTAAAATATTGACAGTCGACAGAAATATTATAGGGCGGGTATAACCAGTTATTTCCTAGTGGCCTGCAGCCTCCCACTTGCACTTATAACATGTTGTGAAGAGCTATATTGAAGCGTGAAATAAATAGAAGCATTTGAAATAATGACGCCACAGAGACTCTTGTGAGTGACTTTGACCACAAATACCTCGAATGAAGGAATTTTAACAAATGCAGCCTGCGAACCAGAACTGCTCAACATAGTTAGGGAAAGGATAATTTCGTACCAAAGGTCCGGGAAGAAAACAACATTCCTGGCTAGAAATCACAACGGACTGGTTAAACATACAAAGATGAAGTCACCATATTACGAAGAACCGAAAACGACACTCTAACCTATGATTAAGCAGAAGGCACAAAAGAAGAAGTATATGGGACAAAGAAGTTATTAGATAACTACATTCACTTCTTTGGATCAATACAATCAACAAAATGCATAAATATTCACAACCTTTATAAAGTAACTACTTCATAACCTTCGGAGCGGAAGCTCCTTAAATGGAAAAATGATTAGAATATTTTTTACTAAAACAATTCTTCAGACGTTTGGTGATCCCTTAGAAATCAAAATGAATTTTGTTCACAAAGTTTCCTGATACTTTTCCGAATTAAATGCAAAAACTTGCACAGCGATTCATCTTACTGCAGAAAATTGGTAAGTTTAGTGCTTTTTCGTGCTTCATTTCCTCGCCTATTAAGAAACAATTGTAATGTAAATTAAAGTTGTAAATAAATAGATTAAATTACATATAAAGGTTAATGTTAAATCAGAGAACATACGAACACAGTTAAATCACTATATTATACACTCTACAAAATATTAAAATAAAATATACGTTACGTAACTGGAAGTACTTTACTTTGAACACTTTTTACTGGGAGTAAATTTGATTTAGTAATTACGATTAAAATAAAATCTAGATAACCACTGTTTTTTGGTTAAATAGTTACATTAAGTGGTTCCATTAAGAAAAGGTTCAATAAATAAACATTATCAAGCAATTTCAACGAGAGCCGAGATAAAAAAATACGATAATCATTTTGTAAACATTCTCTTTGAAGGCCCAAGGCAAAACGGTGCAGTTATAATAATATAAAAATATTATGTGTAATAGAGAATAAAATAAGCGTAAGGATATTCATTAAATGATAAGAAATTGAAAAATTTCAAGCATTTACATTGATACTTTCAAAATTCACAAGAAGATTAAAGCATTTATCACAGGAAAGCGTAAAAAGAAGAACGTCTCGTTTAAAAATGCACGCCGAAGAAATAAAAGTAAAAAAAGAAGGAAATGTCTAATGAAGATAATGCCTAATTATCATGCAATAAATTCATCTTGATTTCAGTGTAATATGATTTATCTATGATAAAATAATCAAACAAAAGTTAAGAAGTGCACTAACTTATTGGAAATTTTTAGCATAAAAATCTAACAATATATATGTTTAATGATCTGTGTCTCGTCCACCGGCATTAATTAGATTAACCTCGCCTTGGCATGCTTAAAATTAAATTATCAATTTCGCTTTGAGGCAATAAGATTCATTCTTACGTAGAAAGATCTTATTGTCTAGTATGAATGTTATGCAGATGATGGGCCAATCTCTCTCTGAAGCATATCCCACACATGTTCGATGGCATTCAGATCTGGCAATTGAACTGGTTACGATAAAAGTATAACATCCCTATTATGAAACCAATCTCTTACTGTTGCTGCAATATGTGGTCTTGCATTATTCTGCATGTAACGCAAATCAGGACCTGCAGTAGTGACAAAAGGAAGGACAACAGGTTCTAAAATACGATCAATACATTGATATTCATTCAAAGTGGCTTCCACAAAAACGGGAACAGTTCGTTAATGAAAAATGTAGACCTCTATATCGATGAACACCCCAAGCTAGCTTCATCTATGAAAAATACAGTCCGATACACATGTTATTGTGCCCTCCTTAATGTGAGTCCACGATTTCCATGACGTAACATGGGAACCCTTAAGGCGAATTGGCACGATCCAAGAATGCTTTGATTTCTACTTAGACTAAGTGGACTTGTGTAAGTGTACTTGTACCAAGTTGGTTGCCACTGTTAAATGACTTGGATGTCAAATAACCATTGTAAAGATAGCGGAAGTGATTGTAGAAGCTGTTCTGATATGTTAATACATGAGCTTGAAATCCAAAATAAAGGAATAAAAAATGCCACACTTCTAGCATAATTGCATATTCACCGACGCCATTTTAATTTTACAATACCACACTACTTGGCTCCAAGAAAGTTGGCCAGCGTCCTACTTAATTTGGATATAACCTGTTGATACAAGTCAAGTGTACTTGAATGAACAGGTGACACGATCAAAAAAGCTTTCAAATGTTGTGCGCGCAACGTCCAAGCAGACTTTAACCAAGTACACTTGGATTGTGTTAACGCGACTTTAATGGACGTCTGACGTGCAAGTCAGCTTCATATAATCTATTCATCAAAGTTTCGCCACACAAAGTAATGTTGTGTGTACTTTCTAAGGCCCCACAGAGTTCACTTTCAGTTATATGTGATACATTGCAACGAGCTAATCCTACCACATAGCGATCCTGTCTAGGAGTAGTTGCATTTTGACAACCTTCATGTCTTTTAATGAAATTACCAAATTGTTCATATCGATGCCACAACCGCGAAATCAGGCTCCGACGCACATCAAAATGACGTTAAACATGAGCTTGTGAAAGACCAGCCTCAGTCATATTCACAGCACTTACAATTTGAGCATGTGTTAAAGTACGACCATTTTTAAAATTTGAAACACTTTTTTACAATTGGAAGTAATTAATCGTATGAATTTGAAGCGCTATCACTTTCGTCTTAATAAAATAGTGACAGATTGGCAGATCAATTTTCATGGCATATCTTTATTTATGGAAAACAAGTTTTCAAATCTAATGGTATATATTAACAAAAAAACTGTTAAGGGTTTTTATTAAAAAAAGTGGTATAACAGTGGCTTACATAGACATTTTTTAAGTGTTTTTTACGACAACAACGTGGAATAGATAACAGAAGAAAGCTTCAATGATGGATGTAATATCAATAGAACAAAATCCATTTGATCTAAAATAGAAATTATAAGAAACACATTCACGCAACTAAAGAAGAGATTAGACTTAGAGAAATGGGTACGCCAGAACACCTAATCTATTTATTACAAAAACTATATGTAAATAATACTGCTAATGTAAGAGTTAATAATGTCGTTTCGAAAAAGTTCAAATTAAAATCTGGAGTTCGACAGAAATGCATAATATCCCCTATTTTAATCAATATATAGAGTAAACATATTATACGTCACGTTTTTGAGGAATGGCAAGGTGAAGCAACGATAGGAGGAAGAAAAATCAAAAACCTACGTTATGCTGATGGTACTGTTGTATTGGCATCATGACCAAAAGAACTGGAACAACTTATGAATAGGCTAGGTACGGTGAATACGGAATATTGTTTGAAAATAAATATATTATGCAGAAAACCAAAGTGATGATCATCGATAGAATCAGAAACAACCTAGCAGGTTCCTTTATTACTAACAGTGGAGGATGCGAAGACGAGATGCGTCGACGCATCACAATGACCAGATCGGCAACAGCCAAACTCACAGAAATTTGGAAGAACACTGGTATCACAAAAAAAAAACACAAAATTACGCCTTGCTCGAGCATTGATATTTCCTATCGCCATATATGCTTTTAAAACTTGCGACAATAAAAAAACCTGACTCAAAGCTTATAATGGCATTTGAAATATGGGTCTACCGTAGAATGTTGAGCATATCATGGACCGCCCATCGCACAAATAACTCAATTCTAGCAGAATTTAACATAAAAACTAGACTCATCACAACTATCAACCAAAATATACTGAGATATTTTGGACATATAACTAGAGGAAGAGAAGGCATGGAGCGAATAATAGTTGAAGGTAACGTAGCGGGAAAAGATCCAGAGGAAGATCTCAATAGTATGGTCGGACCAAGTAAAGGACATGACTGGTTACTCATTCTCCGAAGCAAAACAACACGCACAGAAGAGAGATAATTGGACAGAAATAGTCAAACAAATTACATGACGCCACTACATCCTTACGAAGGAGAAAATATAGAGGAGGATTTTTACCGATCAAGTATTTCTTGATGCAGGCGGATAGAAGGAAATGATTTGGTACAAAGGTCTCTCACCTAAATACCAGAAATATATTATTTTCTGTTCGATATTATAACTCTTCAAGGGTATCCAGTTAAAATTTCAGAGTGCACGGAGCAAAATTGATGGTGTTATAGGTATTTAGAAGTGAGTGAGTTATGTCAGTGAGTTAGGTGAGTGAGTGAGGTAAGTGAGTGAGTGAGTAAGATGAGTGACTGTGATGAGTCAGTGAGATGAGTAAGTGATATGAGTGAGTGAGATGAGTGCATGGGATGAATAAGTGAGATGAGTATGTGAGGTGAGTGAGCACTCACATAGACATTGGAATAAGTACAGTGTCAAGTTCTGATAATGATGCACGCAGCAGATCGAATTACTAGAGCGGATAAAAAGGCTACATATGCTACAAAAAAGGCTGAGTTCATCGAAGGCGGGGGCAAAAAGACGCTCTAGATATTTTAGCAGGAATCACATTGCTATATTGGCCTGGAATTCACGATACTGTGCGAGTATAAAAAATATGCTTTTTTTAAACGCATTTTTCTCGGAATAATTTTTTTCAAGTCGGTTTACTTTATCTCAAAAATTACTTGATCGATCCTTCTCAAAGTTTGCACAATTCTTTTACAGATAGATTACTAGGTAGTAAAGTCGAGGAATTGTCCATTTTGTTGTCATAATTTAATTTTACGACATCAAATTAGTCAAATAGTGACAAAAAGTTTCGAAAATTAAAAAAATTCGGCTTTTTTTACTTGAAACAACAATAAAATCAACAATATCTCTACGTTGCGACATAGGGAATCTCAAAAACTCTATTGAAAATCTAGAAATCTTTTTCGTTAATAAAATTTGTGAAATAAAGTCTGGCTAATAAGTTCTAACCAAAGTCATCAATAACATCAAAACTATCAAGAAGATGACTGTGAAATATTCGGAACTGGATCAACACGGTTAAGAGAATTTTATGATCAAGAAACTTCAGTTAATCCAACTTTCAATTCCGTTGTACCAAGAAGAAAAATACATCTAAATAAAATAAAAAATACTACAACTCTAGCATTATAACAAATCAACAACACCGTTTTTAATTAACACTTAAAAATATGACGCTCACTTGTATCACTCATCTCACTCATCTTATAGTACACGCCAATTAACAACCAAACAGCACAAATACTAAAGAATAACACTTAAAAACACAGGTGTGTCGATATATTGCAACTAATTGAAAACACGAAAGTGCTACAATTTTATTAACCGTTAAAGGTTATTGATAAGATGGATATCAGATCAGTCAAAATGATGTCAAAATGTGATAATTTCGTTTTTAGATTAGATATATAAATTGCGATGACATAATTGTTTTCCGGAATTATAGGACGTGATCTGCAATTAGGTTTTTCTTAAGTTTTCACCTATATCAATCGCAGACAAAACAATCAACGTGAGTTTTACTTAAACATGCAGCCATTTAGTCTTGATTTTATATGAGGACAGCTTTACTCAGATTGAAATAGAAAGCAAGATCTCAAGTGGTTTTTAAATAAAGAAGGAATTAAGCTGCCCTTTTCCATGCTTCTTTAAAATCTATAGTTGGCAAGTAAATACTACACACCTGTTATCAAAATTGTTTAAGCACTGCTGTCTGTATCTCCGAAAAATTTAATTTACACACTATTTACTATTTCACAATAATTCACCCTGTTCTGACTAATCCTCCGTCTTGGTACTTACTTCAACATCTATATGAAACTCATATTCGATAATTTTTGGTTTTTGTCTTAATATTGCCTTAAAAAACTTATTAAAAAAGTAGATTTAACCAAATCTTACATCGACAATGTCAAGCCATACGTTTAACGTCATTCAATGTAGTCACTACATTACCTACTGTGTTATAATATAAACAAGTGAAGGTACAGCCAAAATTATTACATTTTTTTCGATGGCTTTACATCTTACGTCTTTAAAAATTGTAGTAATTTAAGTGTCTTTGACCAGCAGTATATATTGATATTTTTTCCAGAACATTCTAAAAAATTTTTATAGCTTGTCAAACTTTGATTACCTCATGACAAAGGTATTTCTCTAGTTTCCAAGTTTAAAACTATAAATTACTATTTCTAACGAATTTTCACTGTATTTATCGTGACAGCAAAAATAGAAGTATGGTGGCATATCATATCATGTTAGGGAAATGGGTATTTTGTTGTATTCGTTAAAAAACCGGGATGTAGCACTCTAGGAGTGACTGAGAAGGGGAAGCACATCTTTCTTATCGTCTGCGCTCAGAGCGATGATTTTTAATTCAATTCAATTCGATTCCATTCGATTATTTTATTAAGAAACACGCACATGACTGCGTTTGCTACTCCAAATAGTGTCTGGTCGCACGATTTGTTTCATGTTGTGACATTTTTTTGCTTTTCTTTTGTTTTTATTTTTTCACACCTCTGCGCGTTTATAGCCTGCGATAAGAAAGCTATGCTTCCAAAAATCTATTAATAGTGATTCGCAAATGGTTTTTGTAATTTTTTTGCTAGTTATTGCTTACTAGCAAATGGAAAAACGTGGAAAATTAAATATCCAAATAATAACAATAAAAATCAAGTTCGAGTGTTCGAGTATTGTTCTCTGTCGTTACTTTGGACATTTAGAAATAGGCCGTCCTAACATACCCTTTAAAAATAGCCCTTTTATGCGTTTTTAACTTTGCCTGCGTTGGTTGTAGAGATGAACTGAGTATCTCTACTCCCGATGTAGCCGGTCCCAAGTCCAGATAAAAGATGAGGGACAGAAGAACACCTCTATAAAAACCAGGGTTCAGCTGTCCCGGCTGATAGAACCCTGTAAGGGACCCTTACATAGGGTTACAGATGAAGACCACACCAGCGATGAACACGGATGGGAAAAACATTCGAAACGGCGAATTCGGCTGAAGTGGCAGCCCGGTTCTGGGCGTAGTAGAGAATCGTTAAGCGAACGATTACTGGTATAAGTAATTCCCCACTAATTGGTCAACAGCTACGGATGGAAGAATCGACTCGTGGTAGGGCACTTCATTACTCTGAAGCTGAGAAATTGACTCGGCAGACGGAAGAGCTTAATTAGTCAACGGCATTAAGATGTGGAAAGCCACGGGATGACCACCACATTAAACAAAGATCCAAAACGATATTCCCAGGACACCACAATACCTGAAAATCCAAACGAAACGACCATCCAAACAAACGAAAATCGAAAAGAAAGTTCCAGGCACCCCGTAAGTGGAGAGAGGGCGCTAAGAATCCCCTGGTCAGCCAATAATGTACCAACAGTGAAAAAAATTGGTAAGGCAGCAAATAAGATTCTAGAAACGACACGCCTGAACATAAATATTTTAAAGTGCAGTGAATTTCGATGCTCAAATTCTGGAGTAATGAACACCATATCTATTATTCGGGAAATGACACAACAAAATACAGAAATGGCATAGCGATAATAGTAAAAATGGAAGTAGCCATAGCAGTCATATAATTTGCGACCATATCAGACAGAGTTGTGCTATTGAAGATTAACTCAAGTCCCTTTAATACAAACATCATTCAGGTCTAATAAAAAAAACATGAACTAACTGTTAGCATGGGCGATTTTAACGCCTAAATAGGACAAGGTACAGTCGGGAATGTTCTGAGGACATGTGGTCATGACACAAGAAACGAAAGAGGACAAATGCTGATATAATTCTGTCAAGAAACGGATACGGTTCTAACGAATACATTTTTTAAATTACATTCAAGAAAGATTTATACATGAAAAGTATCCAGTGATAGCCCAGGCAAAAACATAAGAAACCAAATTGATTTTAACAACACAAACAAAAGGTTTCGTAATTCTATCACTTCAGAAAAAACATATCGAGGCGCAGATGTCTTCTCTGATCATAATCAAGTAGTTGCAAATATCAACAACTCAAAATAATTCATAAGAAAACGAGACCCAAAATAAATATAAAACTACTAAAAGATAACAACATCCAGGAAAAAATAAAAACAGAGCTTAATAAGAGTTTTGCTAAAATAGTTGAAAGCACTATTAGCGGAATAGGCAGTGGAACGAAATGAAGACATCTATTACCATACTTTCGCATGAAAATCTTAAAACAAAAAAAAAGAAGAGCAAGAATGGATGACAGATAAAATATTGCAGATGATGGAAGAGCGAAGGAACTTAAGGTAGACATGTCAATCTACGGCAAATAAAAAGCAAAAGAAGTATGGCTGATAGAAAAATGTAATTGATACATTACAATGCAAACATGACGATTTCCATATGCACAAAAAGATTAATGGGGTACAGAACACCAGAAACCAGTACAATACAGGCATAGTTGTAGACATCGAACGCCAGATTTTGACTACAATTGAAGACAAATTAAGAAGATGGAAAGAATACATGCAGGAATTATTCGAAGATACCAAAAATGAAAAATCACCAGCACTTGAAGAAGTGCATGGGGAAATTTTAACGCTGTTAGAGACACATCATATTCAACAACATATATGAGATTGTCACGTACCAAAAGACAGAGTACTTAAAGTTCTCCTTACTATCATTTACTGACGCATATGTACACCAAATCTTCGAGACTTCGAGAAGGCATTTGACAAAGGATACAAATTAATATCAAACTTATATCTTCAACAAAAAACAACAGTGCGATTCGAAAATGAATTATACGAGATCTTAATATTGGGAAAAGAAATTCGACAAGGTTGCCTACTGTCACCAACACTATTTAATGAAATATACTCTGAAAATACCTTTAAAGAATTACACATTACCCCGTAAAGAACAGAAAATTGGCTGGCTTCCGTCACGTTATGCGTTATAAATAAATATTGACCTCTATAATTGATTATACAGGGCAAAATTGAGGGCAAGAAAGATACTGGACGTAGACGTATATCCTGGCTGGCCATTCTTAGGAAAGGGACTGATCTAACATCAACTGATCTATTTAGAGCTGCTGTGAATAAAATAAGATGAGTGAATGAGGTTGCCAACATCACTAGAGGGATATCTTTAGAAGAAGAGTTTTATAATACCTAATATACTAGTGTAAATTTTGTATATCAAATATATTGATCATAATCGTAATACATTACTTAATACTAGTTGACAACTGAGTCAGTATTTAAAAATGAACAGTTCCATATGGAGTTTCTAATTTGTATGAAATTAAATACCAATAAACGCATATGGTTAATTTCAGATTAGAAAAATATGGTAAATTGTCGACAATTACTAATTATGTTCGCTATACCTGTTATCTTAATTGTATAATTTACCTCACAGTTAAAAACGTTTTTTATAGCACATATACGTCTTTATGTTTAACAATAACACCGTAATTGCATTTTCATAAAAACAATCACTTAAATGATCACTTAAATCACTTAAATAATCAATATAAATCTTTCTAAATCGTTAGTTGGGTAAGATTTTTTCTTGTTTTTCGTCTCTGTACAGTATTTTTATGAAAATTGTTCCAGCAGATTTGTCAAGATAGTCATTCCACCATGTCATTTACGGCCTTCCTCTTCCTTCCTTGTATTCGCCAAATTCCATTATTTTTAATAAACTTTAAACGACAAAAACGTTGTTTTCTTTAAGCAATCCGTTAGTAAACTATGTTACAACCGAAAATAGTTTAAACAGAATAATAATTTCTAAAATATTTTAGCTCGGTATAACTCGGTAGTGTATTACCGAGTGATAAAGGAAGCGAAGGAACGCTTGCTGAAGGAGAAATGCGATGAAATCGAAGAGTGCGACAGAAGATATGACTACCACAACATGCACAAAAAGATCAAAGAATTAACAACTAAAAAGAAAACCAATAATACCCACCCGACACTAATAGACGCAGACGGTAACCTTATATCAGATAACTTGAAGCTCATTGACACATGGAAAGATTACGTAGAACGACTTTTTAACGATAAACGCAGAGCGACAGTGGACCAAGATAACGACATGACTGGACTCGAAATACTAAGGTCTGAAGTGGAAAAAGCCACTTCATCGCTAAAAAACGACAAAACACCAGGTCTCTACAACATACAGGGCGAGATCATAAAACTCCTATGCGAAACGGATGACCACTTCCTCGATTTTCTGACAGGCCTTTTTAACACCTTTTACGACAAAGGGGAGATTCCAGAGGAATGGCTTCGATC